TGAGAAGCACAGAGCCGAAGACACAAGCCTGAAGATGATGAATGAGACTTCATCGAAACGTTGCCTAGATACTCTCAATCTTACACGGGAAAAGACCCGAACATGCCAAGACCTGCATACCTGTACCCGTGAAAATCTACGAATATATGTATGTATGTATGTATGCATGTATGTATGTATGTATATGTATATTCAGCTTTGTTCGGGTATTTTCCCATGTCATTATAGTTGTGATTTTAAAGTTGTAGCAACATTTCAGAAGAATCTCATCTGCCATCATCAGGCTTGTGTATTGTGTTCGTCTTTGAGTCAGGCTTTCATAGCCATTTCTGTTTTAAATTTGGTGCTAGCCTACTGCTGTGTTAGAATCGTTTTTTCTTCATCCTGATTGGTTGGGAGTCTTGGTCTGTGTTTATTGGTCTTGGAGTTTCCTGTGTTCTGCTTGATTGGTGTTTCTAATATCTTCTGTCTGTTTTGTAGCTTTTTTTGTCTTGATTGGCTGGCAAAATTGTGTTTCCTGTATTGGAGGCTTTTAGTGCAGCTTGGCTCCGAGTAAATGGACGGCTATCATTTATTAGAAAGCTAGGTTTCATCTGGGTGCCTGGTTGGGGTGTGTTTGAGCTGGAAGTATCAGGAGGGGTCTGTTTGTGCCCAGGTGTTTGCCTGGCTTGTGGTGTGGAGATTTTTTTGTTTGAGAGTGCAGGCTTCCAGATAATTCACAGTCTGGTGGAGTCATCTCTTCTATTCATGCTTTCAGGTCTTTTTTCAATCTCTATGGCTTGGTTTTCCAGGTCAATTTTATCTTTGGGGTTTCTTAGGATGGCTGCTATATTTCTGTCTGTTTTGAAGGCAGTCTTGACGTGATGCCTGTGTAGTATCTTACTGATTTTGTCTGTAGTACCTCTTATGTAGGGGAGGACATATATATATCCTTCACTCTCACTCTCTCCCCTCCCTCTCTTTCACCTTCTTTCTGCTTCACTGGGTCTTTGATTGGAGGTTTCTTCTGGAGCAGAAGCAAAGAGCCTCTTCCAGTGAAGATTTATCTGTGTCTTCTAATTTTCTTCCAGAGCAGAACAAAAAAGCCTCTTCTTGTGAAGGTTTTTCCATATCTTTATATTCTGCTTTTCCCTGAAGAAAAAGAAAGCCCTTCCCAGTGAAGTCCTCTCTGTGTGTTTATTCTGATTTTTCTCTGCAGTAAAATCATCTAGTGGCAGGCCTTAAGTAAGAATCCCACAGTTATTTTAGTTTGTGCGTGGCCCACCCACTATTCAATTTACCACTTCTGTCTGTGCCTCTTTCCCAAAGTGTACACTTGTCTCAGTCAGACTCTCTCTCCCTCTCTCTCTCACACACATACACACTGGTCCATGAAAAAACTGTCTTCCATGAAACCAGTCCCTTGTGCTAAAAAGGTTGGAACTCCTTTTTGGCCATGCAGGATCCCTACAGGAGAGTCCTTTTAAGAATTATGTATTAATAGAAAAGCAACTAACTTACCTCTGTTCCTAAATGCTAAAGCTGTTTCACATAAAAAACAGAGGAGCTGTGATGACTCGTAGTCTCTTAAAATAACCCAAACCCCAAAACATACATTAAAGTCTGGTAAGGCCTTCAACTTAACTTCACTGTTTTATTAGGCACAGTTTAAAGTCACAAAAGTGACTTTAAAGAAAACCAAAACAAACCACACTGACGAGAGTTACGAAGCAAGCCAAGATAACTAATCATAAACTCCAGGAAAATAACCGAGGAGAGTCCATGGGAAGAACACCAGCAAAGATAAACCTCTTTCAAAGTAAACACTAAACTTTGACTCCAGCAATTCTGACTGCGCAGTTACAAACTTATATACATAGCTCCCAGCTGCAAGCCACGAGGAGGATCATGGTAATCTCCTTTTGAGTAGACCTCGCTTTTCCCTGATCCTCTCCTCCCTGCGTGACCTAGGATGGATAGGGGATGGGCCTGGATCCTCCTCTGACTGCTCAGCCGGCCTCTGCTCTTCCCCAGCCTCCTCCACCACCTCTGGAGGCACACTCCCACTCCCTGTTGGCTGTTCCTCCTCTTCCTCAGAGTCAGACTCCACCAGGGGCATGACACTATCCCCCCCCAGAGGGCCCCTCCCTCAGGACCAGGCGGATGAGGACATTGAGGAAACCGAGCGTGAAAGTCCTGGACCAAATGAGGAGCATGAACATCAGTGGCATCGACCCAAGTGAAGTCCTCTGGTCCATAAACTTTCCATGCCACCAAATACTGAAATCGGTCCCGCAACTGGTGTGAATCTTGCATGCTATCCACTTCGTACTCCTCCTCTCCCAGAGGGGCTACTGGGGCCGGCTGTGATGGAGCCGGTCTATGCGGACTGTCGGCCGAGGCAGGGACTAACAGGGAACGATGAAAAAACAGGATGGATACGCATGGTCCGTGGCAGGGAGAGACGATAAGCCAGAGGATTGATCACTGTCTCAACCAGAAAAGGTCCCAAGTAACAGTGATCGAGTTTTTCGATGGTCGCGTCATTGGTAAGTATCGAGTAGAGAGCCAAACCCGATTGCCTACCGTTAAAGGCGGAACATCACGATAATGTCAGTCTGCAAACCATTTATAGTCTTCCTTGGCTCTCTCTAGTTGATCATGGACCATGTGGTGCACGGCTTTTAACTCCTGCAAGAACTTATCCAACTGCCGGAACTGGGGAATCAGACAGGGCTAAAGGGAAAAGTCGTGGATGAAACCCATAGTTAGCAAAGAAAGGGGACACACGGGTGGATGCATGTTGAGCATTGTTTTCAGTGAATTATGCCACCGGCAGCACTTTCACCCAATTGTCTAACCCATGCAACCAGAAAACATGGGAGATAAACAATTGAGCCGTTATCTTGGCCGATGGAAGACCCGCACACAGAATAAAGTGGGCCATTTTAGTCAACATATCCACCACTACCAAAATGGTTATGGCACCATTCGATGGTGGTAACTCAACGATGAAATCCAATGAAACTGCCCCCCACGGTCATTCTGGCGTGGGCAAGGGCTGCAAGAGACGAGGGGGCGCACCAGGAGCATACTTGGCTTGGTGACAAATCCCACAGGACGCCACATATCCCGACACATCATGTTTAAGTCTCAGCCACCAAAATGTCCTAGAGATGAGGTGCAGTGTTTTGAACACCCCAAAGTGTCCTGCCGCCGGACTATCATGACATTGACGTAGGATAAGGCCACAAAGAGGACCTCCAGGCACGTAAATGCGATCATGGAACCGCAACAGGTCCCCAGTATACGCCCAAGGAGTCTCTTGTCTCCCATTCTCATCCAATTCTCGACGTCGAGCTGCCACAAATGGGTCCTGCCACTGCGCCTCCTGAATCCTCACTCGGAGGTCCACAGGTTCCTCGGTGGCCGCAAACCGCTCCAATGGAATCACTGTCCGGGGCAAGATTTTATCCTCCCTTCGGGTATACTCGGGCTTCCGAGATAGGGCGTCGGCACGTTGATTCCCTCCACTCGGAACATGTCACCGGGAAATCAAATCGAGCAAAGAATAAGGACCATCTCACCTGACGCTGGTTCAATGTCCGAGCTGTACAAAGGTGTTCCAAATTGCGATGATCCGTCCGAACCTCAATTTGGTGACGAGCCCCTTCCAGGTGGTGCCGCCATGTCTCAAAAGCGACCTTAACCGCCAATAGCTCCTTGTCCCAAATCGTATACTTGCGCTCTGGAGCTGACAACTTCCGGGAATAATAAGCGCACAGGAACAAGGTGCCTGCGGGAGCATAGGCCTGGAGGAGCACTGCACCAACAGCCACATCGGAAGCATCTGTTTCCACCACAAATGGCTGGCCTGGATCAGGGTGTTTGAGGATAGGCTCGGAATCAAAGGCGACTTTCAATGCCTCGAAAGCTGCCTGCTCCTCAGCACCCCAACGGAACTTCTCCCCCTTCTTGAGCAGATTAGAAAGGGGAGCAGTCAAGGCAGCAAAGTGGGGAATAAATGTGCAGTAGTAGTTCACAAACCGCAACAGTCGTTGCACATCCTTAACCCACTGTGGAGGTTCCCACGCCTGCAACAATTGTATTTTTTCCAGGTCCATTTCCACCCCAGAAATGGGGTGTCCACTAGGGGCATGACAGGAGCCCTGATCAACTATCACAGCCATCATTTTGACAGTTTTGCTGTATTGTTGTCTGTGGACACCCCCACTAAATGCATGCATGGGATAAACTGAGCCTGGTTTGTTCTCAGTCTTTTAAGTGGCCACAAACTACTAGCAAAAGTGGTATTTGATCACAAGGCAAGGAAGCATTGAGAAATGTTTCCCTTTTTGTATTTGAGCATCCAAGAAGGGACAGGAAAGGAGAAAGGGAAAGAGAAAAGAAAAAGAAGGAAATAGGGGAAGGAATGAAAAAGAGGGAAAAAGGGGAAGAAAAAAGAAAGGAGAGGGAAGGAAAAAGAAGAAAAGGGAAAAGGGAAAGAAAGGAAGGAAGTTTCTCCCCAGCCCCACCCAGTACATCACAGTTGTCCCCCCACGAGTGACATCGACATTCACCACGGCCACACCTACCATGCCCATGCCCACCTGGCCCTCCAAGGTCAACCACAACCCTGATGCGGCCCTCAATGAAATTGTGTTTGACACCCTTGACTAAAGGAAAATATTGGGAAATATCTCATTCTTTCATAATACTTTGAAAATATTTTTCAAATAATCTAACTGAATGAAAAGTTTGTATGGAAATGAAATATTTCTCATGCCATTTTGTTTCTTCTTTTTCTTATTATCATTGCACACTATAATGTGTCTTTTATTTGGATAACATTAAATCAATTTTTTGCTAATGTAAATAAAATGTAGGCTAAAATGTAAAGGTGGAGTGATGAATAATAATATTAATTATAGTAATAATATTTAATGACTTTAGAACACATCTAAAATTTAAAAAATAAATGAAACATACTAGTTTCAGATGTTTTAAATGCCAGACAATACTTATTGCAAACTTAAATAATGAAGACTTACCAAATGGACAGTAAACCTCAAAAAATTAGAACATAATGTAGGTACAAACTGATTAGTGTACTTTTCTTTCCCAAGTCCTAATTTGCCATGCCGTCCATCACCAAAAGTATACATAAGACCATTCTCTAAGTATAAAGAAACATGTTAATACCTCAGCCTGAAGACAAAACTGTTATTCTAGCAGCAATTTTATACTTTAGAATTTCAACATGTAAAATAAGCTTTTCATTAGGTGTATAGAATCAGGGCCACTGAAATTTTAAAGATCCAATAACAAGACTGCACATATGCACAAGTAGGCCTGTTATAAATTGTTGCCTCCCATTTTTTAAAAAAATATGATTTTATTAAATCTCAAAAACATAAATAAAATGTAAACATGGGGAAAAAAAGAAAGTACAAAAAAAAGAATCAGACAAAAAGTAAGATAAAAGTGCAAAGAAAAGAAGGAAAAAAGAAAAAGAATGGCTTCCGATTTTCTTGGGTACAGATATAGATAAAAAATATATCCAATTCTTGCTCTAAAATTAACAATGGTCTACATTACTTCTATAATCCCATATAACTCTAGTCATTAAATCCCAAAATCAAATTTTAATTTCTCTTAGTTTTTTGCAAAAAGTCCAAAGGTAGCTTGCAAGTAGAAACAAAAACTCTGTTGTTTAATCAAAGTTGTCAGTTTTGCCATCTCCACCAATTCTATTTGTTTTAACATTCTTCCAATGTAAGTAAGACCTTCCACCTTTGTGCATGTAGGAATATCACCACTGTTATCATATATAAAAATGAAGTTTAATGAGATTTTTCAATTTGTCCATTAATCACTAAAGAAAAATCTCTGGTTCCAATTGTAAATTTATCCCAGAAGGCCCTTCAGGCTGCAGAGGTCCCTCTCCATCAAGCTGAAATGGGAGGAACTCCAGACAATGATAACCAGTTGCCGGATTCTTATGACAGCGAAGACAAGGGGGAAAATGACCAAATAGTGAGTGGACCGATTCCCCCTTTTGTCTTCCCAATATGACCTACAGCCCCAATAACAGGGAATAAGGGGACTTTCCAAGCCCTAATAGATTCAGGCTGTATTTCTATGGTAGGTTTAGAGTTGCCATTAAGATCTTCTGAATTAAGCTACATGTTTGGTACCAATATTTTCTAGTTTTCTTGCATGTCCACCAAAGCCAAAAAAATACCTTCAAATTGATTACAGTTCCAACAAATATTTGAAATTCCATTATATATGTTTGAAAAAAATTATGTTGTCAAATATAAGTGATGTATCATTTTTTTAAAATTCTTTTTAATAGTATAATTCGACATGAAATTCAACTCTTTCTTCCACATATTTCCCCATTGATATATTATATCCAATATTTTTTGCTTATCTTTCATACAGTCTTTACCTTGTTCATCCTCTGTTTTCATTTTCAATAAAAGTTAATACATTTTAGCAATAATATGATTATCATATGTACACCCTCCATTTCTGATTTGGAGAGAAATCATAATTTGCCATATTCACATTTAATGCCAATTTGTGATTTTCAGTATAACGAAACATATGGGAAAATCTGAACATGAGAAAGCAGTTTTAACACTGATTAATTCCAATGCAATTAATCCCAATACAAACCCATTGATTAACAATTACATGTGAACTTAATCACCATTTTTTAAAATTGTTTAACTTAACAATTAACGAATTGCTTTGAAATCTATTTAGGACTATGAAGATCTATTGACCTTTAATATCATAAAACACTTAGATACACTGAAAATGTAGCATCAGAGTTAACATTACAGGTACCTGTTATTAAAGCTGTGTGGTTTTCTCCACTTGCAATGTTACATATTTTTTGCTTTCCCAGATGATCTACCATCTTTGGTTCAGAAGTTTCAAAGATAAATGTGCCAAGTCCAAGTTGCCCATATTGGCCTAGGCCAAAGGTAAAGACCTCTCCTCCTGAAAAATGCACATGAAAGTAATATTCTAGTCACAACTGTCATTTTCTATTTGTATAGCAACTCCTTGTTTAGCAGCTATTGTTTTGTGAATATTTGCAAATATAATGGCAAGTTTTCAAAAAAAAAATCTGACTAATGAATACATTTACAACCAATTTATTTTCCAGATTCCTTTTATTCTGCCTCTTATTATTTTTAAAAATAACTCAAGGAGTTATACATAACATTTGTTAAGGGAGTTTTGTCCCATTTTACAACCTTTCTTGCCACAGTTGTTAAGTGAATCATTGCAGCTTTTATGTTAGTAATACAGGTATTACAGTAATACACCGGCTTTCCCAGTGACTTTGCTTGTCAGAATGTCACAAAAGCTGATCACATGAAGTGAAATCCAAGCTGGAGTGATGAGGGGAGAACTGCAGTTTTGCAAGTCCCAATGTCTCTTCTCTGCCACTGGCGGGGACCTTCTGCCACCTCCCACCACTTTCTGCACTTTGGAGCACCCAGGCGAGGGCAGCTGCCACATCCAGGCCTGGCTGCATCCCTCAAGTGCCGATCCCAACCGCTGCCGCCTCGTGAGCCAGCGAGCCTAGCACTGGCCCCAGAGAGGCTGGCAGGCAAGTTGGTCGGCGAGGACTCCATGTCCAACAAAGGGACCAGGTGGGGGGCTTGCTCCCCTCCCTCTTTTGTGCAGATTTACAAAAAAAGACTGGAAACTTCAAGCCAGGCAGACCGTGCAGCCTCCACCTCGCCTACCCCATCAGCAGCTCTGGGCAGCGGTTCAGCTTTCCCGGCTGGCTGTGACCCCCAATCCCCACTTGTCCTTCCCTTCCTCTCAGAGCTGGTGGCAGAGAGGAAGGCGAGCTAGGGCTGACCTGCTGCCATTCAGCACCCTCTCCCAGCCCGCATCTCACCCCTGCTCGGACTCTCCACAGCTGTTGGATCTTGCCTGCCATGGCTGCCAGCAGGTGAGAGGCAGTAAGGGGCTGTGAGGCTGTGGTACCTGCATCGTCCCTCCACTGGCTGGCTGTCCACCATCCACCCACCCAGTCAGGGTGGAGTGTGGGAGTGCCTCACCTTGGGAAAAGGCAACTGGGTTCCGGATTCATAGTAAAGAACCGCAGAGGGTTTGGATATAAACAGTAGCCCAAGGGGTAAGCAGGAAGAGCTTTGGTGCTGGGCCACTTTGCATGGGCTGCTCAGAGACCTCTTTCCTCACAGCGGCAGGTGGGGCAGCAAAGTGCCTTGTAGGTTTTCTAGGCTTCAACCTTGGCCTTTCTCTTATGAGAGGCTTCCAGCAGAAGTGAGAAGGAAGATGCCTGGACTCTGTCAAGCAGAAGGGGGTATTGCTGCCAGGAGTCTGGTCGCAATTCTTGCCATCCTCATCCCTAATTAAGGCTGAGGGGGAAGAGCCCAAAGAGTGGCGAAGTACCTGTTGTGCTTATTTCAAAGGCCAGGAGAGGAAAGGTTGGGCAAGGAGTGGCTGGGGGAGGGGAGGGGCAAGGGGAAGCGCCCCTTGACGTGATATCAAGCTGGTCATGCCCATCCAGTCACATGCCCCCCCAGCCATGCCTACCTAGCCAGTCATTAGGGCAGAGAACTGATTTTTAAATTATTTGAATCCCACCACTGGTCATAAGTGACATTTCAGTGCCTTTGTAACTTTGAATTGTCACCAAATGGACTGTTGTAAGTCAAGGACTATCTATACTACAGCAGCAAAAGTCTTCAGGATGAAACTGATTAAGCTCTGGTCAGTTTAAGACATCAGCAGAGGTGGTCAGAGGGTGCTACTAATAATAATTAAGGCCACAAAACTCAGGCATTGTAACTTTGAGTTAGCACTTTTTAGGGAAGCACTGAGCTGTGGAGAACACTCAGAAAGAGATTATTTAAGCAATCTATACACCCTATCAGGCAGTGAAAAAAGGGGTACCTCTCACTCTCTCTCCCTCCCTCCGTCATGATTTCACTTCTAGGAACTGATTGTGATGGTTAAGTGAAGAAAGTATCTATAGCACCTAAAGCAGGGGTAGATAATTTTAGATCTTCACATGTTGTTGCTCTAATTCTCATCTGTTTTAATCAATACAACTCTTATGAGGTATGATGGAATTTGCAGTCCAACAACAACACCTGGAGAATCAAGTCTTACCCTTCCCATTTAAAAGTCTCTCTTTGATGTTCAGCTTAAAATGTGTTAAGAGATATGCAAGTACAGATAGTCCCTACCTTACAATCATTTGTTTAATGACTGTTCAAAATTACAATGGCATTGAAAAAGTGACTTACAACCTGTCCTTGCACCCACAACTGTCACAGCATTCCCCCATGGTCACCTGAAAAGTTGGGCGCTCTGCAACCAGCATATAGTTATGACAGTTGCAGTCCTGGGATCACATGATCACCATTTATTATACACAGTCAGAATCTCTCTGTGAGGGAGATGGGTGGTTTAAAAGGTGAAAAATAAATAACTTTGCAACCTTCCCATCTGACAAGCAAAGAGGAAGCTGGAGTCACTTAACAACCATATGATTCACTTAACAACCACAGTGATTCATTTAACTATGGCAAAAAAAGATGTAAAATTGAGCACAAATCACTTAACAGCCACCTTACTTAGCAATGAAAATTCCAGTCCCAATTGTGATTATAAGTTGAAGACTACTTGTATCATAATTTGTTCAGAGTGGTGACTGACCACCAATTATATACTAGAAAGCAACAGAAAAGTACTGAAGCATATATACCTGCCAGTGCTACTGTATGTCCTCCTCCACAGGCAACCTTATTAACTCTTCTTGGAATTCCAGAAACAAGCTGTGGGACTCTATTGTTTTTCAGTTGTTCAAGTGACAAACCTAGTTTCCCATTGTCAGACTCCCCAAAAGTATAAAGTTCTCCATCACCTGTAGGAAACAAAGTGGGAACATTAAGATTCATGACACAAGGAGAAAATATATTCATTTGTGGAATACTTTATGCAGACTTTCTTTGTTATACTTGTTTCTTCTGAACTATGCTAACTTAAATGTCTGTGGAGATTCTCAGTCATCCAGGTCATGATTGTCTCAAAGGTGCTTTTTTCAAGAGGCAACTGGTTTTTCTGGTTTTTCTTTGAAGACGTTTCTCTTCTCATGCAAGAAGCTTTTTCAGCTATGCTAACTTTGACTTTTTAAAAAATAAACCATGTAATGCTAAGCATCACAGACGCTTTCTGGAGAGATCAAGAAGAATTTCTTCATTAGGGAGATCAACAGACAGAAATTTACCAACAGAAAGAAGCCATGACACTATATGGAAATACCTGGAAACTGTGAATGTGATTCTTTTTTTTTTGAAAGTTTTATTTGGGTTTTCACAAAAACAAAATACAAATAAAATATCTTTTTTGAAAATAGCATGGTCCCAGGTTATCACTTCTTCATACAAACACCAAACTCAATTTCATGCTCATTTTTATATTCTATTCCATATCTTATTACTGTTTTATATTTTCTACATAGTTTTTCCCCTTTTAATTTTCTCAACTTTATTTTAATTATCTCATCTCAATCAAATCATTATATTTATACTTTTGTCTGTCCTGTTTCAATTTCATATTATCTTTTCTTATTAAACAAATTTTTCCCTGTAGTTACCAATTGGAGTATGACACCTTTATATCTTTTAATTTTATCCATTCAAACTCTTATTTAAGCTTCAATGTATACTTTTAAGATTATAGTATTCAATATAATACATAACTTCCAATCGAATTCTGCTTGGTACATTCTTAAAATACACACTATATTCTTAAAAAGAAAAAATTATATATATATATATATATATATATATATATGTAAATAAAGCACACATTCCATTCCAATTCAATTCTATCATTAATATTCATTAAAATCTTAACATCTTTAACATTTCTTTTCAATTAAATATCATACTTCCTTGGGAACACTTATAAACTTTCCATAGTTAATTCTTTTTTTTCCATATTTCTCACTTATAATTTTATAAATCATTACTAATAATTAAAAATGTTCCCATTTAATTCTCTCAATCATTTTAATTCATTTATTTATTACCAAACATTCAATTACATTACAGTAAATATTTTATCCATCATTTTAATCATATTTTCTAAAATTATTTCTGTTTATAATATAACAATGCTATCTTATGTACCTTTGCAGAATCCCTTTTGCAATTAAATTTTCACCCATTATCTCTAAACAAGCTTATGGGTACAATCCTTATATCTATTCCCTGTTTCTCCATTTCTTGTTTCTGTCTTTTACAACTTCTTTTTTTTTTAAATATAGTTTATTAGTTTTTACAATTAAAACCAACCAACAATACATACACAAATAAACGAAAGAAAAGAAAAGAAGAAAAGAAAAGAAAGGAAAATTTAGAGAAAAAAGAGAAAAAAAAGGAAAGTTAAAAGCATTCTTATTTTTAGTTTGCAAGATCTTTTTTCATAACCTTGATTTATGTCATATACATGTTCTTTACATATATCGCTATATCATTATTATAGATTAATACTTTTCTTTTATGCCTTATGATATATAATTTATCTTTGATCAATCCAATTATACCAACAATTCCAGCTATCATAATATAGTGAAGTGTCTTTGTTTTTTAGCGCCAAAGTCAGTTTATCCATTTCTGCACATTTTGAAATTTTTTCGATAATCATTTCATCTGATGGAATTTGATGTTGTTTCCAATGTTGAGCGAAGGCTAATCTGGCTGCTGTTAGGATGTGTATTGTTATGTATTTAGCTTTTTTGGAAATTTGTTTATCAAAAATCCCTAACAGGAAGGACTCTGGTTTGTATTCGATTTGCTCTTTTGTAATTTCTTCCAACCAAGTTTTGATTTTCTTCCAGTAATTTTGGGTTTCTGTACAAGACCACCACATATGGAAAAAGGTTCCTTCTTTTTTCCTACACTTCCAGCAATACGGACTCATGTTAGGGTGCATCTTCGCTAACCTCGAAGGGGGGTGGTGCCATCTATACAACATTTTATAAAGATTTTCCTTGTATGCTACCGATTTGGTGATCTTATTATTTCTGCCCCAAACTTTCTCCCATTCCGCTAATGTAATGCTGCGTCCTACGTTCCTACTCCAATCGATCATATTTCCTTTTACGATTTCTTCTTCTAATTCTGTTTCTAATAAATAATTATAAAATTTTGTTATGTTTTTTTATCTGATCCTAATAAAATTTTATCTAATTGTTGAAGTTTATTGTTAATTCCAAATTCTTTCTTGTCTTGTTTGTATCTACTTTGAATCTGAAGGTAAACCCATTGATCAATTTTTTGTCCTTGCTCCTGAAGTTCCTGCCTCGGTTTCAAATTTCCTTGTGGGTCCAATAAGTCTTTGTATTTAATCATTTTAGTAATCTCCAGATTGTTTGGGTGAATCATCGCCTCCATTGTTGAAATCCATATTGGTACTTTTGTGTAATGTTTTTTCTGTATTTTCCTCCAATTTGTTAATAGTGCGTCTCTAATTAAATGTCTATGGAAATATTTTTGACTGGTTTTCCCTACATCCCATAAAAAAGCATGCCACCCCCCTTTGTAAATCGTGGCCTTCTAGGAATAATATTCTTTTGTTGGTTAAGTTCACCCAATCCTTCAGCCAAACTAACGAGGTGGCCATATGGTATAACTCCCAGTTTGGAAATGCTAACCCTCCCCTGCTCTTCATATCCTGCATTGTTTTTACATTTATTCTGGGTTTTTTCCCTTGCCAAATAAATTTAAGGGTTATTCTATTGAGTTCTTCAAAAAACTTTTTGTGTAATTTAATTGGGATCGTTTGGAATAGGTACAAAAATTTGGGGAGAATGTTCATTTTAATGGTGGCGATCCGACCTAGTAGTGATATTTGAAGTTTACCCCATGATTCTAAATCTTTCTTTACCTGATGTATCAATTTATCATAATTATTTTCTTAAAGTGTCTTACAGTGTGGTGTTAGCCAAATTCCTAAATATTTCACTTTCTTTGTCACTTGTATATGCATTGTTTCTTCTAATTCTATTTTCTGTTTTTCTGTTAAATTTTTAGTCATTAATTTGGTTTTTTTCCTATTTATTTTGAGTCCTGCTACTGCTCCAAATTTCTCTAATTCACTCATCAATTTTAGTCCCCTGTCTATTGGTTCTTCGATAAAGACTTTTACAACTTCTTTTCCTTTCTTTCTTCCCTCTCTTCTTCTCCCTCCCCTTTTTACCCCCTCGTCTCTCTACTTCTAACTCTCTCATCTGTAATCTCCTCTTCTGTTGCTTTCTAATATTATACTTATCTTTCAAATTATTCTTCTTCTTTTTGGTTGTTTTTTCTAGTCTTAAACCTTTCACACTCTTTCCCCCCTTTTCTTTTTTCCCCCCACTTAAAATTATTTGATCATTAAAGATGGCTTTGTCTTTCTCCCGATCTTCTTGTTCTGCAAGCGTTTCTTGTTGTTTCTCATAGTTCCAGATCTCCATTTCTAAGAACTGAAATACAAAGCCAAAAGAACCTCTCCCTTCTTGTGCATCTTCTTTCCATTTTTTAAGTTCCATTTTCAGTTCTTCTAAGAGTGATACCATTTTAAAGACTTTTAAACAACCACCCGGTTAATTTTAGTCATCCAGATGCAAAAACCAAAAATCACCAAGTAATCCAAATAATCCAAGGCTGTTTCTTTCTGCTTCTTTTTTCCACTTTCTCTTCCTGGAGTTCTATTATTTTGTTACCAAGTTTCAATTAAGGTGTATCTTTGAGGAATCTTGTTGAAATTTCACTGTAAGTTTCTTTTAGTTACAGTTCCATTCCTTAGTTCCAGGCAGTCTCCTCCATTTTTCCAGATCCTGCCCTTTTATTCTTTTTTTTCCTCCTTTCCTGCTTTTAAAAACTTTTAAATATCCAGAAATCTTTATTATCCCTTTGACTTTTATTTTCAGCTTAGATGCCTATTAATGTCAAAGTGGATTTTTTTCAATTTCTTGCTTAAGTCTCTTAGCTGTCAGTATAAGGAAGGGAAGAAAATAAAACCTAATCCTTTCCCTTCTCTCTCTCCTTCGCAGCTTCAAAATCTTCTTTGGGAACAATGTTATTAAATTTAAATTCTAGGGTACCTTATTTGTTGCTTTTGCTGTTTGACCCGGTCAACCAAAACTTTCTCTTCTTATCTTTCTCCTGCACATTCTTTTCCAGTCAAGTTCTTCTTTGAGGTGGCCATTTCTGGCCATCGCTACAACCACCTTCAGGAAAGGGAGTAATGGCCAGCTGGGGAGGAGAGATGTGGCTCTCCTCAACCCTGCAGGCAGTCTGCCCCTTCTTCACCACCTCTATGGGGTGGCTTAGCCCCGAAACCAGCCGGCTTGGGGAGCTCCAGTGGCGAGCACGGATCGAAGCCTCGCAGAGACGAGGTTTCAGTCTGTCACCGAAGAAGCTCAAACCGGAAGCCGGAAACTGTGAATGTGATTCTTCTAACAGCTACTGTCAAATTCTGAAGCAGAATATCATTGAGGGGTGGGGTGGGAATGTAGAATAAGGTCAAAATCAAATGTCATATTATCCTCTAGAGCAGTGATCCCCAACCTTTCTTATGCCGCGGCCCGGTATCCCCAACCTTTTTTATGGCGCGGCCCGGTACCGGCATTAGCTGGGCGCCGCCATCTTTTTTTGATGAAAAAGTGCTTCCGGTGAGCTTTCTACCCGGAAAAGCTCACCGGAAGAACTTTTTCATCAAAAAAAGATGGCGGCGCCCAGCAAACCATCGGCCCGGTAGGACTTGTTCCACGGACCAGTATTGGTCCGCGGACCGGTGGTTGGGGACCCCTGCTCTAGAGTTTGCATTAATAATCCACTATCTGTGAAACTAGAGAGGATATTGAAAAAAAAATCTAGGTAGCAGAGATGCAAAAAAGACTGCTTTTTGGTCTTGACTGTCACAAACTATTAGGACTTTGTAAATGGTAGAAGATTATCAGTTTTACTCCACCCTCTTAGCCCATTTAAGACTGCTCTAAAAGTGATTGATATATACCACTTGATCAGCACCATATAACATGACAAATACAGAATTTTAAGCCACAGTATTGAACTTTGAACATACATAAGTAATTTTATACTTACATGTTATTAAGGCAGAATGATAATATCCACAAGAGATCCAGAAAACAGGTTTCCCAACATCCACTTGATGAGGAACACATGCATTAGCTTCATTACCCAAGCCTATTTGGCCTTCAGAGTTGTCTCCCCACATAAAAAGTTGTCCATCCTCTTAAAAATAAAAAAGATTGTTGTAAAAAAAAACCTCCAAATTATTTAAAGAAGCTAAGGAAATGAGGTTTAAAGCTATGGAGACCAGAGAAGAGACTTGTAATATAGAAGGAGAGAAAAGGTTAAGAAACAATAAAAGTTCCCAGTTTATGTATTATCTCATAGTCGGTGATTTACATTTGAAATATAATTACAAATTGTGAGTTTTCCCTCTCTGAAATCATTTCTCTCTTACATCAGTCAAAACTTAAATGAATTTTACGAAAAAAGATACAATGTTTAGAAGCATTTATCTTATAATTAGACACTGGGGTGGTCACTACATTAAGTACTTATAATCATGTGGATATCCTACCATATACTACATAGTAGTATGAACATACTCATACTACTCTATGTGTATCTGGAAAAAGAGTTCATTCAGGTTGGAATTTTTTTTTTAATGAGTTTGGGATTATTATTATTTGCATGTTAAAAGCCAGGTCAACACTTAAAGCAGAGATAACTCTGTTAGCATACACAAATTGTGCTAACATTGTTGCTTCACATGCATAATTCAGTGACATCTTCTATATTATGGCAGAGTGCATATACAGCACTATATTGGGGATAGTGTCACACAGAACCACAGAAGAAAAATATTTAGATGTGCTAATTGCAATAACTGCAAAATAAGTAAATAGTGTGTCCAGGCAGCTGTGAAGGCAAACAAAATTCTGGGATGTATCACTAAAAGGATTCACCAGCAGGAAGAAGAAAGTTTGAATCCCACTATAAAGGACTTAAGTCAAACCCCATTTAGATTTCTCTTGTCAGTTCTGGAGATTCACTTAAAAAAAGATTTTGATAAGTCCAGAGATGGGCAACAAAAATGGTGTAAGATTTGAGGGACAAAATGTATCAGGAGAGACTGGAGGAACTGAATATGTACAGCCTGGAGCAGGGGTCTCCAACCCCTTGGTCACGGCTAAGGACCAGGCTATGGGCTGTTTGGAACCAGACCATGCAAGCAGAGGGTAAGTGCATGCCGCAGCTCCACTTACACAAGCTGCAAATGGAGCTGCATGTGTGAGTGCACTCACCCGGTGCTCATGTGGAGCCATCTTCTCCCCCCACCCCCCGCCGATCTGCAAAGCTGGAAAGGTTGGGAACCACTGGCCTGGAGGACAGAAGGGAAAGTGGGGAGAGGATGATTAAAGCCTTTAAATATGTTAAGGGTTTGAATAAGTTCTAGAAGTCAGTATTTTCAATAACATGGGGGCATAACTTCAAACTGACAGGAGGTTCAAAAGTAATATTATAAAGTGTTGTTTCCTAAAAAGAGTAGTGGAAGCTTAGAACCAATTTCCAGCAGAAGTAGTGGGTCAATCATCAGTAACTGAGTTTAAATATGCTTCCATCATCCAACAAAAAATTAAAACAAATTAACAACAAAGGAAAAACAAGGGAAAAAACTCAAAGTGCAGACACAATAGACCATTAGGTCTTTTTCTGCTGTCAGTTTTCTATGTTTCTATGTATTTATGGACATTACTTACAAAACTATAAGGATGCTTTAGACTCCACTACAATATGCCCTTGATAACCTGCAATGGTCTCACTTCTGTCCAAGCTGGGAGGAAAATGAATTGTTTGCTTATCCAAATTACATTTTTTTGGAACTTCTTTATTTGGTCATTGTTTATGTTTTAGTGCTCAAATTCAAGTTATAGGCTTATCAATATCATCTAACAGTAGCCCTTTTAAGGACTTTATAAGTTTAAGGAAGCTTATAAAATGCTACGTTCTGCACTTACTGTCTACATTTCACACCCTATTTTGGGGGACGGGACGGGGGGGAGGGAAGTTCTTTGATAGACTAAATATTTTTGATGTTTGGTTTCCATAAAGACCTAATGGAAAGTACTTAAACTTTCAACTAACTTCTTCTTCAGCATAACTTTCATATAAGTCACTACAGGGCTCACCAGTTAATGCCGCTGATGTGTAGGATCCAGCTGCTAACTGTTTGATCTTGTGCTGACTGGTAAAATAATTAACTAGATGAAATGCACTTCTTTCTTCTGTGCCTCCTAATCCCAGTTGTCCTTCACTGTTACCCCCAGTGGCATACAGGTTTCCTTTCTCTGTGCAGAAAAAAATCACAACCAAAATAAGCACACTTCACTTGAAGCACCAGGAAAAAACAATTCAAATAAAGAACATATTACCCAGTCTCATGTTGTCTTTAAGACTAATCACAACTGTTTCATGATTACCTACAGAAGTCTAAAGTTTAACTCTTTTTAAAGAATTACTGACTACATAATGGAATTCGATTATGCAAACTAGGATCACAGAATCAGAAGGGAACATTTAAGCCACAGGCTCAGCCCTCAACTCAGTTCAAAACCCAAATAAAAATATTCCAGAAAAAGGCTGTCTAAAGGCTAAGAATTATAAAGTGACTGTCTAACCATTGAACCCATTCAAAATGGGAGCCTATTATTCCTCTGGATCATGCATCAGTTAAAAGACTTTTCTCATGTCTGGAACCTAGATTTTTAAAACAGAAGTGATTTCATTCATTGCATTTCCTTCATTCCCAATTGGGAGGTGGGGAAAGGGAATATGTTTGGAATTTTAAAAAGCTTAAAACATTAGGATTCAATAAATAATTGTTTCATGTATATACATGAAATAAAGTAAATATGACTATGAATATATGTTATCTAAAATCAGAAATGAGGTATATAGGAGTTAGGGTTAGCTATGATTAGCCTAAGAATTCAGGGCTAAGATTTTTAAAGATTATATGGCCCTCCCTCTGGCTCAGTTCACTATACTAACAACAAACTTAGAGAAATGAAAGAATTTCTTTCCTGTCATCATCTATTATTCATACCAGAGACTGCTTTTCATCTTTTTTTCCCTGGTGGATGTGGTAAAGCATGGCTTAGGCTTCACTTATTGCCTTATTTCATTTTAAGGGTCATAAAAAGTCTGTACCCTAAAACAGTGGTCCCCAACCTTTTTTGTACCAGGGACCAGTTTCAAGCATAAACACTTTTTCAAGGACCGGCGGGGGGGGGGGGGGGGGGGGGGCGGGGGGAGATTCTATTTTCCATTCCCAAACCTTTATGTTTACCCTACAACTAGCATTAGACACCTGACTGCAGTCTCTCTAGTTCTAGGTCTTGCCCAGCTGTGTATCTACAAAATTTCATGCAGATGTTTCTCTTATCTCTGTTTGGTGAAAACAGGAATTGAATGAGGAGCATTTAGTCAGTGTGTTTTCCCTAGGAAGCTCCTGTAGTCCTTGTTTAGGGATCATTCAGAGCTACGATGGACCTCTAATATCCAGCCCAGGAAGAAACTGCTTCAAAGAAGCCGGGGGTGTGTGTGTGGCTTTTCCTGTTGCCGCACCTCCTCCGAAGCGCCCGTTCACCCCCACCCCACCCGCCCGCCCGCGGTTCAATCCAGTGCTCCGTTCTGCCTGCCTGCCTGCCTGCCTTGGTTTCTGGTTGTTTGGGAGCAGCTTCGGCTGAGAATAATAACTATTCGCCTCTTTTTATCAGCCAAAGCTTCTCCGAATCAACCAGAAACGAAGGCAGGCAGGCAGGCAGAACGGAGCACTGGATTGAACCGCGCGCGGGCGGGCGGGGTGGGGGTGAACGGGCACTTCGGAGGAGCTGCGGCGACAGGAAAAGCCACCCCCCCACCCCGGCTTCTTTGAAGCAGTTTCTTCCTGGGCTGGTGGAGGAGCGAGAGAGCGACTGAGAGAGGAACGAGGCGGGAGGAAACCGAAGCCGCTGAGCCGGAGAGCAGGACAGGCTTTGGTTGCTTCATCCCTCCCCTTCTTTCATTTGTGTCCTTGATCCCTGATCCCAGCAGCATTCACCGAAGGCGAAGAAAGCCGCCATTTTTTTTTCATTTTTTTTTCTTTGTGGCCCGGTACAGAGCGCTCCACGGACCGGGACCGGTCCACGGCCCGGAGGTTGGGGATCCCTGCCCTAAAATACACTCTATTTTTTTGCATGACAATGAAGGTTTTTAAAAAAAATAGAGTTACCTAATTCATGAAGAGTAATGTTTAAAATTTTGATTTCATTTTAATTTCATTGCAATTCTATATCCTATATTAATAATATTACATGTTTCTAATTATAGGACACTTTGCTTACAAATATTATACCAATCATTGTATACAGCAGGGGTGTCAAACTGGATTTCTTTGAGGGCCGGATGAGCATTATATTCTCTTTTGTGGGCTGGGGTTTGTGGTGGGTAGCAGCAGGGCATCCTCGATGAACTGCTTGATGAACTCATGCAGGCAGACATAGAGCGCGCCCAGGAGGGCAGCCTCACTCAGGTGGGATCAGCTGGTTCTCCGAACTGCACACAAAATTAATAACAGCCGAAGTGTCTGAATCCCACCTCTGCATTGCTGTCTCAGCCAGGGAATGCTGGAGCCTTTGCCACCAAGCAGCATAACACTATGTCTGCAGCAGATCCTCTATAATAGTGTATCATTCCTTGATGTTCTCAGCTACGGTGCTCTCATAACAATAAAGGGCACATTACTGACAGTTCTTTCACTACTATATGGTATTTTCTTGCAGAAATATATTAGGGTACCTCCTAATATAAGGATGTCAAAGCAGAAAAGACAAGCATATAAAATTTATTTTAAACTGGTAATAGTAAAATATGCTGAGGAACATGAAAACAGAGCAGCAGAAAGATATTTTGGGCCACCTCCAACTGAAAAAATGATGAGAGTGGAGGAAACAGGTAGATCAGCTGTAAAAAGTAAAAGAAAAGCTGTAAAAAGTAAAAGTAAGCACATTTTTCATGGGCATGCTGCAAAGTGGCCACAGTTAAGAGATGGATATGAAAGAATGGATCACACATCACCGTAATAATGCCTTCTCAGTTTCTACAAAAATAATATATGAAGCCAAATGCATTACTGTAGAGAAAGGCATTCAGGATTTTACTTGATCACCATCGCGGAACTACAGATTTATGAGATGTGGCCTTGCTATGCGCACCAAAATTGCACAAAAAATGCCAAAAGAATATGAATCTAAGATTCTGTCTTTTCATAATTTGTAATTTAATCTAGGTAGAAAAATGATTTTGAAATTAGCCAGATTGGGAATATGGATGAAGTCCCGCTAACCTTTGATGTGCCTGTGATGACCCGGGGCATGGCACAAAAGCAACAAAGTCACAAAAATAGGTAAACTCCCTTTAATACCTCTAACTTGGCCCCCAATGTCCAGTTATCCTCGGCTGGAGATCAAACTCTTCCAAAAACAGTCTATAAATGGAAGAAATGCAGTCCGAGCCCAAAGAACAGATAAATTAGAAATAAAAAAAACCAATATAAACCATGCTAGAGTAATTAACACGACAGGCCAGGATAATAAATTGCAGACTTTCAAAAGATAACGAAGCACACTGAGTTGGGAGGACGCCAAAACCCAGATAAGCCTTTACAAAAATAATGCACGCTTTGCTTCCAGATGGTGCCGTGGGCAAACACCCTTCTTATATCCTGTTCTCCCAGCTGCAACTAATGAAAGGGATCAGGGCCTTTTTCTCTCCCATAAGCCACATTGCTCCCTTCTCCGTTCCTCCCTGCGTGGCCTAGGATGAAGAGGGGTTGCCCTGGATCTTCCTCTGAATGCCCAGCTCGACTGTGCCCTTCCCCCATTTCTTCTACAGCCACCGGAGCCACACTCCCACTCCCTGTCAGCTGCTCAATCTCCCCCTCAGAATCAGACTCCAACAAGGGCATGACAGTGCCATCTAATAAGACTGTTGACTGTTGATCTGAAAGGTGCCAAAACCATAACCGTGAAAATCTCAGGACATGAGAAAACATATTACATGGTGTGTTGTCCTACTGTGCAGATGGCACCCAATTGCCACTGATGTAAATTTTCAAAAGGAAAACCTTTCCAAAATAAGAGATTCCACAAGGAGTTGTTGTGCATGTTCATGAGAAAGGATGGATGGACGAAAATGGAATGAGAGTATGGGTTGAAAAAGTGTGGTCCAACATCCTGGAGGACTTCTGAAAAAACTGCTTTATTAGTGCTCAACCAGTTTAGAGCACATATTAGTAAAACTACAAAAAAGAGATTTAAAGAAGTGAGGACTCATCTAGCTGTAATTCCTGGGGGTCTTACCAGCCAGTTGCAACCTCTTGATGTTTCCATCAACAAACCATTTAAAGTCTTTATGGAGAAGAGTGGAACAAATGGATGGCTGTTGATAATCATAATCTGACACCTACTGGACGAATGAAACGGCCCACTATCACTCAAGTTTGTGAATAGGTTAAAACAGTAGTTCCCAAAGTGGGTGGTACTGCCCCCTGGGGGGCGGTAGGATGCCTTAGGGGGGCACTAAGAGGCAAGGGGGCTGGCAGGGGTTGCTAAGAGGTGGCAGGGGGGCACTGGAGGTGGGCCCCTCACAGGGCGCAATTCAGGGGTGAGATTCTACTGGTTCATTGCCGTTCCCAGTAGTTTGGAGAACTGGTAAAATGGGCCCCTGGCTGGCCCTGCTCCTCCGTTCCCTGCCCAGTCAGTCCTTATTGCGCATGCACAACATCGCGCACATGCACAACAATCGCTGACAGCCACAGTGGCGCACTGGAGAAGCCGAGCAAGCAAAGCCGGAGGTCAGTAATTTTTTCTGCATAAAGCATCCAGACGTCGTGTTTTTTTTGGTGCAGCTGGAGTCCAGCCGTACTAGAAAAAACACGTGGCATCTGGAGTTTGTTTGCAGTGAAAATTACTGACCTCCAGCTTTGCTCTGCTTCTCCAATGCACCACCACCACTGTGTTCTAGGCACCAGCCATGCACACTCACCCCATTAACTGCTGCACCACTCCGCTCAGACTTGCTTGGGCAAGTCACTCTGGTGCAGTGGGCTCAATGGGGTGGACCTGTGGGGCCGGTGCCTAGAATGCGGCCACAGCAGCACATTGGAGAAGCAGAGCAAAGCCGGAGGTTGGTAATTTTCTCTGCAAAAAAAACTCCAGATCCTGCATGTTTTTTTCGGTGCGGCTGCAGTCCAGCCGCACCGAAAAAAACACATGGCTGCTGCAGGCATTCGCGACAAGGGCGATGTGGGCTGGCGGGGAGCCCAGTGACAACAATGGCTCAGCCCTGGCTTGCGTTCCCTGGCAGCCAGCCACGGGAAGAAAGTAAAGTCATGGCCGTGGGACAACCAAAGAGGTGGTTGTGGGGGAGGAAATGAGGAGATTAAGGGCCGGGGCCTCTGAAAGGGGAAACGGGGTGATGCAGGATTAGCCCAGGCCTTTGACAGATTAGGCCACACCTGCCTGGGCAGAAAATAGGTGCATAGGTTAAGGAAGGGATAGAGAGAGAGGAAAAGAGAGAGAGGGAAAGAGAGAAAGAAGAAAAAGAGAGAAAAGAGAGAGACGGGGAAAGAGAGAGGGAAAGAGAGAGAGAGAGAAAGAGAGAAGAGAGAAAGAACAGATAAGAAAGTAAAGAAAGAAAAAGGAAGAGAGAAAGGAAGAGAAAGGAAGAAAAGGGATAGACAAAGAAAGAGGGGCAATGGAAGGAAGGGACAGAAAGAAAGAGAGAGAGAGAAGAGAGAGAAAGAGAGGGAATGAGAAAGAAAGAAAGAAAGAAAGAAAGAAAGAAAGAAAGAAAGAAAGA